AAAAAATATCTAGACATGAATCCATTGAAGAGAATGCTTAAAAATTGTGATGGGGATGCTGAAGTATAGTTCTTCCCACAGAGAAGGGCTTCTGGCATGGGTGAAGGTGGGGAAGGACTCAGTTTTCTTTAAGGGGCTGGCACCATAATTTTGACCATGCTCCAGTGAGTGTATAGGCAACTAAAATTAGACTTGGTATTTCTCCTCCTCCTCCTCCTCCTCCTCCTCCTTCTTTTCCTTCTCCTCCTCCTCCTCCTTCTTTTCCTTCTCCTTCTCCTTCTTCTTTTTGGAGAGTCATAAAAGGTTGGAGTGGATCTGAGAAGACTGAGACTGTGATTGGGTGTACTATGTGGAATTCTTGACTAATCAATACAAATATTACGTTGCAAAAAGAAAATTATTTGAGGGAATTCCAAAAATAGCACTTCAGGTTATTCTATGTCACTTGGGAGAGACTTTCTGGACTTTCTCTTGGTGTGTCTTCTTCTTTCCTTTTTCTAACTATGTACTCTATAAGATTATGACAAGGGAGAATAAATTAAAATTTCCAGTACCTGCAGAAAGAATAGGCCCCATACACTCCATTGTATTGATCAACTTGCACTTAAGCAGAGAAATTTCTATTTTTCAGAGAGACTTATTCATACCGGTTTCTTTAAAAACCTCTTCAGGGACTGGAGGTCATTCAGTTTTATCAGTGTTTCTACCTACTCACCAGGAAAGCCAAGGAAACTGCTTACATGGAGGATCCAGAGGAGGCATCCACCCATGCCCATACTGCCTTGCTAGGTTTCAGTATGCCTCCTACTAAACCACCTTGTGATTCATTTTTCTTTTCATCAAATCTAGCCACAATTGCTTTCTGTAATAATTGTTAAATTTGCTTAGTTGTACTACTGCATTTTCAAATATGTATTTTTAATAACTAAAAGTATGACATGGCTGCTGTGTCCAAGAAGCCCCCAACTTTATTATGAAAGGAACTATATAACATTCCCTAAGGGTACATATGAACATACACATATATACATGCATATATTTTTACATATTGTATACATAAATGCCAGAGTCCAGCTCCAGATGAGGGCATGATCTGAAGATGGGTGGATGCAAGAGCAACGACAGAGGAATCAGACACAGGATACTTCTTAGTTTCATTTTAGGAGAGATAGACAGAAAGAAAGCATATGGCAGTCATTCCCAGTGGGACAGGTCTTATAGAGGAGGTAAGGAGTTGGAAGGGGGAAGGAAGTGACCAGGCCCTGGTGGTAGAGAGAATCTTGCAGCCTGACTGTTACTAGCAGCCAGAATGTTTTTATTTATACAGAATTTAGTAAGCAGGAATAAATTAATGATGTTCCAAAACATAGATAATATTGGTTTTGGTTTTGGATATGTGTTTCACTTCCTTTTGCTCATCTTTTAGTCATCATTAATAAACTATGACAGAACAGAGTTATTTCCAATCATTTTCCCTCAAGTTTTGACGTCATTAATAAAGAGAGTTATCACTCTTACTCATTAACACTATAACCCAATTTTTGAGAATTTAGAGGCATCTGACAGCCTGTTCTCAAGCTGGTAGCTTTGGTTGCTACAAGGACACTAGACCAAAACAAAATTTTCAAGCCACCCTGGGCATTTTGTCATCTCCCAAGCAGTGTATTATTAACTCTTAGTGGTCAGAGTGCCCAGGAAAAATCCTCAGGCCAAAGCTGCTGCAGTTATTATTCAAATTCTGGCATAATACAATCAATGTTCACATTTATATCTTTATAGAATTTGTCTATATGTCTAATCCTGGCATTCTGTTGTTCCTTGGTCATATGACATTACAGTGGCTCTACATGAGCTAACTTTTCTAAGAGGGGGAGGTCCTGGCACCTCATACTTTTATCATCTTCCACTCCATACTTTGCTCAACAATATATCTCTATGTAGGGCAGAGTTGTATGCCACCTAATTGTCTGAATGTAAGTGGGCAGAGGCTTATAATCTGAACGGTGGTCAACTCCTCTAGCCCACCAAATCTTGTTGACCTTTTAAAGTTACTTTGTTTTAAATATCTTGTTCCTGTATAAGTATAGGGACCAATGTTTCAAGAATGTCTCATAACCTCATGAAGAGACTTGTGACTTCTTTATGTGTCACAACTTCCAAGATGTAAGGAAAATCTTCAAGTAGATAAGGATATCTCCTTAAAAGTAGGGGGGAATAGTATGTTCAGTACTTTCCTGGGGAAGCTTAAAAGCATCATTCCTGGAAAAATGCATAAATGATTCATAAGGAATTTTCCATCAATCCAATATCCCTCAAGTATGCAACAGGTGGAGATGAAAACCAAAGGTGGCATGGCAGCCATCATGTGGCTCAGCTTTGTTGGATCTTTGTCAATCAGCTGTGCTGGCATTATGACTTCTGCCATTCCATTCAGACATGGCTGTGCCACATAAGCATGTGTACTCATACACACACACACACATACAATTCTTCAGTCAAATCCCTGAGAATTTTGAAGACAGAATGATGGCATCCTTCCTCAAAGCCAGAAATCAGGAAAGAGACATCTAGCACTCACCCAGTGGACTTTCATTTGTGACTCATGACAAATTCTGCAGATTTCCACTTTTACTAGCGGATTTCAGAAAATATCAAGGAGAATGAGAAGGGCAAGATGCTTTAATTTTCTTTCCCAATGATAATTAATTTTGAAAGACTTATAAATTAAAGAACCCAGAAAGCAGCTCAGAAATTTTAAAAAAGCCCTCAAAGACAAAGAAAACTGTATCTAAATTTTGGGTACAGAACCAGTGAAATAAAACTTACGTATTGACATGGTCTTTGTCTACATTTCCATTTTCTCCCTGCTTTGTTCTTTCATTGATGCTCATTCCCTTGGCCTGTTAATGAGAGTTTTCTACTTCTGTTGAATAAAAAAAAAAATGTACTCATCTGTTAGTTTTCATTTCCAATTTAGCCAGAAAGGTCACAGGAACATTTTAAAATTGTGCTTTTTAGCAATATTTCAAGGCTATTAAGCATCTCTTAATTCTCAGAAGTTCCACCTAACAACCTATTTACTATCCTTTTCCATTCATGATTATGTGAAAGTATCAGAGAGAAGAAATGGGTTCTCAAGACTTTAGGACGTTCACATTCTGCCCAGACTACAAACACAGGAATAGCACAGTTCACATCAGTTCTCAAATCACACTCAGGCTAGGGTCAGAGTTCAGATATTGCCTTAAAAAGTGAATGCCATTGGGGCCTGTCATATAAGCCAAGCAGCTGCCATATTTGGACATTCAGCTATGCCCCCTTTCAAAAATCAATTACAGCTAGACTTGGTGACCATTTAAACATACATCCCAATAGTGGGGTGTGAAGAGCAAAAGACCATCATTTGAGTATCCAGCCATTCCCTACCACTTGTTATATGTAACTATGTCTCAGCTGCATGCGGTCTTGAGGACGGGAGATAGTTTATAGGCCAGGGAAGATGAAGAGGGCCCTCCATCTATGTCAACATTGTGAAGAAACTCTCACCCATACTAAGTCTTTTTCGGGAGTGTTGGGAGAGAAGCACGTATATTCCTATAAGCAATCCCTCACTTATGCTCTGTAAGGAAGTCCGATGAAGTTATTGGCTTACAGAATAAACATTGGCAGAACTGTGCCTCCATTTATCATTGGAACCTTAGGAGAAGAAATAGAAATTACTTGTCTTTCCTCAGGAAGGAATTTTAGCAATATGCTATCATAAGGATATCTCCCTTTCAATGCTTTCTAAGAAGAATTATATTCCATCCTACATGCATGTTGAGCCATCTTTTCTGTTGAAGCAGCTTCATTTTTTCCTCGGGAAGTTTCTCCGTTCTGGAGAAATGAGCACAGACCAGACATTTCCCCCAGTCCTCCTCTCTAACCTGAGATTTCATTCATTGGCTCTGACCTGTGCTTGGGCACACTTAATAAGCTAAGGTTAATTAGAGTGAAGTTTTTAAGCATCTTCCCCAAAGATCTTTAAATCTTCCCACTGTAATAGAAATAAGTGATTAATTTCTGTTTTCTCTAGCTCACCATCTGGATGGCTTGCAACTTTTGGCTTGAATGTGAGTTTTAAAAAGAACATATTAAGTGTCATCTTTTCCTTTTGTATCATTTCGATTTTGCTTATTTCCACTATAGATATTTCCAGTTTCTTTTATTGTCCTTGCCCGGTCTCTTCCTAATGTGGCAAGTGATGAAAACTCTTACTAGGGTAATGCAGTTGGGATCATAGCTGGCCTGTTTTCTGCTATTAGAGACTGAATTTGGAATTGGTCAGTACATATTCTTAGCTATATATGACACTTTGTAGGCAAAGCAAGTTAATGCAAGTGAGGATACTTTTTGAAGACCCCACTGTGCTAAGCCTCGTGAATCCTTTTATATGTGACATTATGCTTAGCTTTTGTAGGAACTCTTTGAATTAAGTAATCCTCACATGTAAGTGCTGAGATTCAAGATTATACTAATCCATGTGATACCAATGTCTGCAGCCTAGAACCATTACTGCATGCACTTAAAGGGGTTATTATAAGAGTAATGGTCATATCCTCCACCCCAAACCCAAGTCACATCTTGAAGCCCTGACTCCTGGTGTGATAGAATTTGGAGAGAGGTTAATAAGGTTAGATGTATCCATGAAGATAAGAGCCTCATGCTAGGGTTAACTTCCTT